AAAAGAAATTTTTGTTGTGTGATGTCTTGTACACTGTGGAACTTTCTAGACACCTTTCAAAGTGCTTTAAACAATTTCATCTGGGAAGAAAGGTCACATGTTCGCTAAAGCTATAAAGAGTTTGTAATATCTTTTCAGCTTGCAAAACTTGTGCTTGTTGCACCATTTTGTGCATTCCTAAAACTGAATAACAAATGGGTGAGATGTAACTTTGAATAGAAATAACTATTCCGATTTGGCAATTAGAGTTGTTTCTTGATTGTAATCGTTGCTTGTATTATTAAAAGTGAAGGATTAAAACAAGCAAACCAATCATATTACAACCACAAACAAAAATAGATTGCAAATCTATGCTTAATGCAATTCTATGCCCAAATGAAAGTTGGATGTTGAATTCCTTAGTCCTTAACCATATCTAATGAAATGGGACCAAGAAAATCTTGGTTTTACAAGTGCAATAGGATATTTCAACTACATATGAAATGAGACTTAAATTAAATGACAGAGTTGGTGTTAAAATGAACAAAAATTTCAATTTATTTGTGCTTGAGGCAGGGGCATGTGAGTCTATCATTTCTCGCGAAGGATTGTAGAAATTATATTGAAGAAGTCAACATTTATTACTTGCGGAAGGCGATGCGACTGCAATGTATAATTACACTTTGAAAATACAAGTTGATAATTATGTCTTTTTATACTGCATAAAAAAGGTCCAATTATGCAATGTATTTTGGGTTGATGCAAGGTGGTATCTAGGGAGTTTTGTGATGTGGTTACATTTGATGCTACATGTTTGGTGAATAATTATGACATGCCTTGTGTTCCTTTTGTAGGGGTGAACCGTCATGAACAATCTAAGTAGATTCATTCCGTATGAAAGCAAACATTTACATAGCTATGCAAGTGTTGGCTTATGAATATGTTTGGTCAAGCATCAAACTACAAGTAACTTTTCAATATCCACCACCACAGTGTCAGTGCCTTTTCTTCTTTTTTATTTCTGTTCGTCAACATTTGGGTTCATAAACCAGTAAGTAATGTTGTTTTGATTTTATGGGTTGTAGTGTTTGCACACCCACTTTCTTCAATTTATATGCTTATTGAACATTATATCACACAAATACAAGGCAATGAGGATATGAATAGATGCCATCATAGAGTTCATCCTTTTTCCCGAAAATGTTAATGGTAGTAGTTAAATCCCAACATAATTCATATTGGTGATACCTTACTGAAGGGCTAGATAGAGCAACTCCATTTTCATATTGAAATCACATCTCTCTCTCTCCCCCTCTCTCCCATATCCTATTTTAGAGTGCAATTGTTTCTTTTTAATATAAATTGCTTCGTCTTTTAGTTTTTACCAGCCGAAGGGCTTTTTCTTAGTTTATTTTCTATATTTTTTTAGGGTAAATTACAAATACCCCTTATCAGAATTTATTATTTAACACAATTAACTATAAATAAATAAAATTCATAACTGTTCTCCTATGCAATGATAAAATTATCTGAATTATTAATTGAAATAGATTATAGATTTTTAACATCTTTAAAAATTGTTAATTGACTTGATGATTTATTAATAAAAGGGCCATTAGTTATGAAATTATAAATTTCAAGGGGCGGGATGTAATTTTCAGAACTATAGAGGACAAATTGTATTTTAAGCAAACCTTAGGGAGCTTATTTGTAATTTACCCAATTTTTAAAGTTCAATTTTTTTATTTTTTTATTTTTTTTAGAGCTTCACGATGTTGAGGTGTCTTGTGAGGTTAACCAGTGATATAACAAAATAAGAGTTTTAGAATTCCCTTTTGATCCAAAAATGATCAGTTGTTGGAAGCGATATTAAGAACACTCTTGGACATTCATGAACAATACCTTTCAACACAGGCTATTTGTTGGTACTCTCATTTTAGATGATTAAACCACTAGTAATTTGATTTCCATGTTCACTCGTGTTCAAAATTAAGTAAAGAATGTAATTTTTTTGCTTAATAAGACAACACCCAAGTGGTATATAATTGTGCGAGTTTTTCAATCTGTAAAATCTCTTTCATTTTATTGATTCAGTTATTTATTAATAAGAGAATGAAAGTGCTTTTGCTTATGTAAGTTTTCTTCATTGACTCATGGTGTTGTGGCAGACATGTAAGTTGTGTTTGGATTCGAGATTTGTGGTTGAAAAAAAAGGTAAGAATTTGTGAAAAAAATTAACTTTTATTCCATTCACTTATCTTTTCTCTCCACCAATATCGAAACATGGAGTAAGAGTTCATTCTTTGAAGTGTTTACTCTCTTCATATTGTTCTGTTGTGCAGATTTAAGTTACGTTGTTACTTTTCAAAATCTATTTGGGGTCTAGTGCAGGTTTTAATTGTTGATCTTTTTTGTGTGATTGATGATTGGTGGTTGCTAATAGCTATGAAAATTGAGCACATTTTAGGTTTGTAGCAAGTTATTTTATTGCCTTTAGGAAGGTGCTTGGATTTCATTTTTTATTTTTCCTCCCACAAAATCTTTGTTTTGTTTTGTTTTTTTTTTAAGGAACCCTGCAAAGTCATTTAAGCACTCAACAATGTTAATTGCCTTTCCTCCTCTGGGTACACCTTAGTGTACATGTTGACAAATGTTGTACATTGCTTCAATTCTTCATTCAATCTAGACAAAATATGTTATCACACAAATAACTTCTTTTTTTATTTGCAACAAATATTGTTTATTCTAAAATAGTTCAAATTTATATCTTTCATTTCATGCTTCATATTTCAAAGTGTGCATAGTAAGGAGATAACACCAGAGGAAGAAAATTCTCGCCAATAAGGACGCACGTCCACTTTGAAAGGTTTGTGAGAGGGAAAGGACCCGTATGTCAATAATTCTTAGAAAAGAGAAAAAGGCTAGCAGTGGTTTGCTCAATCCACATGCATTATTTAGTGAAAGCACTCCAGCCCAATTGCCTTATTGAAATAGTTTTTCAACCACGAATTTTTCTTCGTCAAAACAATCCTCCTCACCAAATGCCCTTTCTTGGGTTGGGGCATCACAACAATGAGTAGTTGCTTTAAGGATGCCAACTTGTCGATAGTACAATGTTGGCCAAGATGGACCTAAGAACCAGTCTATACTTTCCTGAGCTTGCCTTGCTTCATCATTTATAAACTGGGCTAGCGTTAGAAAAGGAACCAACCCAAGCTCTCCAGCTTTCTAAAGAAGCACAATACAATATGATGGTCATTTGTTGCTCCATAGGATCACATGACAACACTATTGTAATCTTTTTTTTGGTTTTCATTAATTTATTCTCATTAATTTTTTTTAATAAGAATAGAAGAAGTGGTATTGTTAAAGCAATTATTGAAGCAATGTTTTATTGATGATTCTCTTTCAAAAATTTATATATGTTAAGATTGTTGATATGGTTGTGCCAACAAAATTATTACACATTTGGAAATTGGAAGTCGTTGGATTTCCAAAAGTTTATTCAAAATTAGTGACCATGGGGTGGAAAGTGTAATGCCCTGAAGAAATACCTCTCAATTCCCCTGATACCTTAATACAATAAACAATAATACACACATACAGATAACAAATATTAACATTAATACAATCTTTTAACTCCTCTTTCCGATTGAACTATCTCAAAGATACATCATTGTCAAATTATATATATACAAAGCAAATTTTCCAATTCATTCATACAAATAGTTCATACAAAATTGTGCAAAACCAAATCAAAAAATATCTACAGAAGATCTCCTGTGCTCTCATCCAACTTCATTTCATACATCCATCATTGTGGTGGTGCCTTGATATCTTTTCCTGAAATTTGTTAACTTTTGGGGTGAGCAAAAAGTTCAGTAGGCAATGTATTTAACAAGTTATATAATTAACTGAAACACACATGATCATGCAATGCAAGTTGAAAGTTTAAATGTTTAATTATAAATATTGTTTAAATATAAATGAAATATGCAATGCGTGACATTTGTCCAACATTTTTCAAGATAACCATGGGCGATAAATATACTATGACATCCCAAGTGAGAGCCGCAATCAAAACAGTTATACATAGATATAGCTTTGTATACTAAGAATAGTCCCACATTTGTCGGCTCCAGAAACGGCGGGGTGATGGGCACCCAAAACATCACAACCTGCCACATTTGCCGGCTCCATAAATGGCAGGAACGTGGACACACAAAACCATCTATTTTCCACATTTGCCGGCTCCAGAAACGACGAGCTCGTGGACACCCCAAAACATTCTCCACATTCGTTCGACGATATCCGCAAACAGGGCAATTGGGCACCTTGACTCCCCGCACGAGTACCAAATAAAATACACAACCCAATTCCAACCCCATTCACTACTCGACTCATAGACTATTTACCCCTTTCCAACTTTCAACCGTTTATACAAAGGTAAACCAAAAGGAGATGAATAATGCATATGGTGCATGAATTTATAAACAATGCATTACTTTCCTAAGATGATATCAACTCATAATAATCCACCTCTTCACATTTCATAGTTCAAGGATCTACCATCAAACAATCATCATCTTCTTCTCAAGGTTTGCATTAAGAAGGAATCTCAAATCTTACATTTCAATCTCAAGGTCAAGTAATTACACTCAATTTCATGTTTTAGAAATCAATTGAGCAAAACCCCTTTTTATAAATTAAATTTGAAAGCTAGGGTTTGAGTAAAAAATGGGGGTTTTCTCTCCTTTATGAAATTGAGTTAATTATCCATCATACACAATGATATTCATCCATAATAAGTATGATTTCTTCCATAACCATGAAGTGTTGCTCACATGTATTTCAATTTATTCATTAACACAACAAATCTCTACAACACACACATATATATACCTATGTATATATATACCAAATGAATAACTAGTGAAAATACCACATATGAGTCTCAATCAAGCATATAGCAAGTTAAAGACACCCCTACCTCAAGATTGGAAGCAAAAAAGCTAGATCAAGAGCATCCTTTTGAAAATCCAAAATCTAATCGGTTGAAAATGTTGATCTTCTCTTATTCTTCATCTTTGACGCAAGATCCATGGTGGATTTTTTTGGTAAAAATGGATGAAATCAAAGTTTTGAGGGCTAGGTTTTCGGACATGGAGGAGAGAAAGAGAAGAGAGGAAGAAAAACTAAGGTTTTGGGGCCAAAAAGTCACTTTATAATGTCTGCTAGCGACCTGGTCACTCGAGCGAAGGAAGCTTGGCTAGAGCGTGGAAAAGAAGCTCCCAAAATCTTTGAAAATCGCGCAGTTCGCTCGAGCGAAGAAAGTCTCAATCGAGCGAGCTTGCTTCCAGCACAGAAACTAAAAATTCAAAGAGGTATAACTCTGTCGTTCGAACTCCATTTTAGATCATTCTTACGTCCAAATCGAAGCCCCGGAAACAAGATTTCCAATGGTTCTAGCCTCACATTCAAATTCAAGTTGTGGAAGGAGAAAAGGGCAAAATAGTGAAGTTGGGTCAAAAATAAAAACTCAAATTTGGGGCTTTTGATCTAATCTTGCCTAAATACCTTGTTAAGGTTTCAATCAAGGTTCTAAACATCACCCAAGGATCCTCAATTATAATATTTAAAGTTTACTTGCCAACCCATCAATACCAAGAGTCTGACAACCATACAAGTTTTAAGGTGACAAGCACCACTTTACACCAATCCGATACGAATTAGAATCCAAGTCATTACAGAAAGAAAGTCTCAAAGACACATGTTTGGATACATTTACCATATTTAACTTCTTCTCTTTTTTTTTTCTTTTTTGCTTAGTTCTTCAAGATAACTACTTACGTATACTGCAACCGTATACAAACATAGGAAAAAAAAATACAAAGCATACACAATAAGCAATCAAAGTACTATGTAATCACTACCAGGTACAGATGCATCTGGCTAACTTTTTTGAATGTTCCAATTGGCTAGATACCAAAGTCCCAACTTTTCTTCTTTCAACTCCTTCCACAATTTTCTAGATACCAAAGTTTAATTTTTTTGAGTGTTACGAGAACATCTTTCATGTTCATCCTCTCCTCGGATGATTCTGCAGAGCAACTCAAAGCCAATTCCATGATGGATGATACACACTGCAGTACAACTACAGTAAGGTGTTCTTCCTCTGGCTTAAGCAAGTTAGCATCTATAACATGAGAGATTGCATTTGGTAGTGACTCCCTCATCCAACGTTTCATCGTCATGTCTTCAAAAAACATTTCATCGGTGGGCTTCACTCTTGTGAATGTTTCCATAAGCAAGATTCCATAACTATAAACATCACAGCTTGTGGATACTAATCCTTCCAATCCAAACTCTACATACAATCAAAAGAAATATCATGTTGTCAAGAAAATTATAGAATTTTGGTGGTGGCAAGTTGGTATGTGTTGGTGGTTGGATTCGTGGCATACTAGAGGGTGGCAGTATTGAAGGGGTATGCAATGGTGGCAAATGTTGGATAGGTGAGTTGTTTTGGGAAAGAAGGGTATGTAGTTGTGGTCGTGTGGAAAAAAAGAGTAATTTTGTTATTTGGTATTATTGTTAAATTTGACAAATAAAAAATATAATGTGTAAAGGCCAAAAAGTAATTTACTTATTGAAGTTAACATTGTTAATTTTTCCAGTGGATCCCACACCCATGTGAGACATTTGGTAGAACATGTGGTAAAATATTTGGGGTCCTCAGCATTTTTCATTTTTCTATTTTTGAAAGGGAGGTCAATATAATTATGTTGAAATTGTGAGATTTATTGTATTTTTATCATTATTCAATGGGGTTTGGTGTAATTTACCATTTAAAGAATTAGCTCCTTGTCAACAAAATCATAAAAATTTCTATGAAAATTATATTTAAAATTGTGCTATAATATGAAAAATGTCTATAAATTCGAAACATATATAAAGAAACACAAAAATATGAAAATATAAATTAAAATTTAGAAGTCACCTGGTGCAATATACCCAAATGTTGCTATGGTCTTTGTATGTGTGACACTCTCCCCCAAATCTAATAACTTCGCAATGCCAAAATCACTCACATGTGCAACCATATCATCATCTAGCAAGATGTTGCTGGGTTTCAAATCACAGTGAACCAAAGGCATTGAATAATCATGGTGAAGATACTCCAAAGCACATGCAACATCTATCATTATGTCTAATCTCTGCAACATATCTAAGAAATAGTTGTAAGAATACAACCACTTTTCAAGACTCCCATTAGGCATATACTCAAGTATTAGAGCTTTGAAATCAAGGTTCGAGCAACTGCTAATGACCTTAGTAAGATTGCGATGACGAATGTGTCGCATTATCTCGCATTCTACATCAAAACTTTTGAATACACCTTCTACTTGCAAGTTGAATACCTTTATAGCCAAAACTGTGGTATCTTCAAGGATAGCTTTGTAGACAAAACCAAAACTCCCTGTACCAAGCAAGTTGCTCTCACTAAACCCGTTAGTTGCTTGAAAAAGCTGTTGGTATGTGATTCTTGGAGGTGTTATTGTTGGTAAGAGATCAACATTGGATGGAGTTTTATTTCCTCTTCGACATTTTGTGAACAAGAACACAAAGATCGTAGCAAGCAGTATGGAAGCAATAGGTAACAAAATATATAACGCTAGAGCTACTCGTTTTTCCCTCAGATGATGAAGGGAACTAGTATGGCATGGCGGGACTTGAAACTTTGGTGCACCGCATAATGCTTCATTCGACATGAAAGATTGAATGGTGAAGTTCGCAAAAGGTCCCCCATTTGGAATTTGTCCTCTTAACTTATTGAAAGAAATGTTGAGATATGAAAGATGAGACAATGTCTCTAAGGATTTGGGGATCACATCGGACAGGTCATTATAGGATAGATCTAAGAATTCCAAGCTCACCATGCTGCCAAATGAGTCAGGTATAGATCCTTGTAACTTGTTGTGCGCCATTGAAAGAGTAACCAAGTTTTGCAAACCTGTAATTGTACTTGGGATTTTGCCTGTGAACTGGTTCATTGAAAAATCTATTAGTGTTGCAACTTTGAAACTCCCAAGTTGTGGTGGCAGATTTCCATTTAAAGAATTCGAGGACAGGTTAATTTCCAAGATATCTTTAAGATTGCCCAACCTTGTAGGTATGGCGAAAGTTAGTTTGTTGGAATTGAGGTAGAGATACCTTAGAGATGTACTATTCCCTAAGCATTCAGGAATCAATCCAAAAAGTTCATTTTGGTCCAATCCTAGATCACCCATGTTCTTAAGTTGGCATATATCATCTGGAATGGACCCTTGCAGTCTATTGTTGGAAAGATACAATATTTGAAGCTTTCCCAACGCTTTAATTGTAGAGGGAATGAATCCGGTCAAGCCATTTTGTTGCAGATTCAAGAATGCCAAATTGCTTATATTACCAATTTCACTAGGAATGTTGCCTTTGATTCCACAAGAATCTGCATCAATGTTCTCAAGGGAAGCAGAGAGATTTCCAATAGTTGTCGGAAGAATGCCGTCCAGAGGATTATAATCTATCCACAATACTTTTAAATGTTTGCAATTTACCAAGGAAGTAAGGAAGCTCAATTCTGGAGAGGAAGAAGATGACCCACTCGTCAAATTATTTCTTGCCAAGCTGAGAAATTGGAGTAGTCGTAAATTGCCAAGAGATTTTGGAATTGAACCCGTAAATGCATTGCTACCAAGGTCTAAAGAAATGAGTTTAGAAGCATTTGAAATTGACTCAGGAATAATTCCAATGAGGTTATTTCCTCCAAGACGGAGAGTAGTAAGATTGGGTAGCCAAAGCCCTATACTTGATGGAAGATTGCTCGACAAGTTATTTCTCGCAAGCGACATAAGCTGAAGTGATGAGATATTAAAAATTGATGTTGGAATGGCACCCATTAAGTTGTTAGCAGAAAGTGCTAGCTCTCTCATATTTGGAAGCTCACCAATCTCTTCTGGTATTAGACCTGCCAAAATGTATAAACACGGAAACTTGAAGAAAAAAAAAAATCAATGGCAACCAATTTTTTACCCCCCCCAAAAAAAAACCATCGATAAGAAAAAATATTAATTAAGGCATTCACCTTGGTAACTAACATCAAGAAAAAATATTCTAACTTGCACAATTGACATCATCTTTTTTCTCTTTGTTGGTGGTGTTAAACCTACTACTAATGGTTGCATTCACATAACTCGTCTTTTACATTGTAGGAGTACCTATTAGTATTTTCCATGTACTATATGGCCAATTTAGAAGACCATATGTAGATGAGAAACCTTTTGATTCCTAATTGACAACTCAAGATGCCTAAATATTGTGGGAGGGACATGTAATTCAATTTTCAATTTTGTAACATATAAATATGACAAGAAGTTATAAAGGGTGCAAGATGAAAAATAAGCATAAATTACACTAATATTTCCTTATGTTTAAATAAAATATAGCAAATTCATAGTTTTGGCATAATTACACCGAATTCTTCTTTAATAAAGTTAAAGAGATCAAAAGTAACGCAGATGGTGTAAAGATACAAGAATAATCAAGGTAAAATAAATATCCATGTGAAAAAGAGATGACAATATGCCTAAATAATTACTAATGAAAAAGGGGCTAAGTGTTATATAATCCTAAAGAGACCCTAGTTAATTATATCAAATTTATAAGGTTTATTTTATTTTTTTTAAATCTTGGAAAAAAAATCTTGGAAAAAAAAATAGGAATTAATTTGACAAAAATAAATTGCAAAAATATATTTTTGAATATCTAAAAATTATTTTTTCCTTAAAAAAAATTTAAAACTATATGAATTGATGTTTTGTATTTATTATGATTTTTTCACAAAATTAGTTTTAGGTTTTTTGAAAAAAAAATTAGAATTTTTTTTTAAAAAAAAAAATCAATCCAAATAGAGTTGAATCTCCACTTCAATTGGAACAAGTGTAATACCAATGTTATGCACAAAAATAAATAAATAATTTTAAAAATTAAATAATAACATAAAATTTATTTTAAGTATATAGAAAAAAGAATTGACTAAATTTTAACTATTTTCATTCAAGTTACAGCTAAGAGTAGTTAAAAAAATTAAGAAATTTTATTAATGTCTTGAAGGTCATATAGTCTTTCAGATAAAAGTGATTTTTACTTAATATATAATACATATTAGGAGAATTAAGATTTAATTAGTCGTAGAATGAGAAAAGAGTCGATCATCATAAATGAAAATATTATGGAGGGAAAAAGACTCAAACTGACATGGAATGAGAATAGTAAACAAATATATGGATTTGTTTAAATCATTTAAGTATATAACTTTTGATAGAGCATAATGGAGAAAAAAAATTCACATAGTTGATCTCAATTGATTGGGACACAAGACTAGTTCAATATTCTATATTTAAAGAAAAATGATATATAAATCCAATTTTTAAACTTACTTTGATGATGGGTTTGCATTATTTATTTTATTTTCCTCTATCATATTTTGGATTATTTTTTGCTCTCTTATGTTGGTTTGGAGATGGTATGAGAGATGAGACTTGTACTATGAATGGTTGACTTGTGCTATGGATGGATGGAAAATACTATGGTACATATATGTAAGTTATAATATTTGTAAGTTTGATTATTACAAATGATATAATTTAATACTATACGAGTTGTAATTAAAAAAAAAAAATTGAATTATAACTGAATATCATATAAGGTATGACCAAACAACTCTCGGACCATAATTAAAATTTTGTCATAACTAATATCATAATATGTCATAATTAACAATACAGTAAATTATAACCACTGACTAAAAAATCGTAACTAACAGTGTATATCATACATACCCTTAAAGGGGTGTGCACCATAAATGTCCATAGAGGACTTGGGTTAGATAATTATATGCCTTGCCCAAATGAATTGGTAATCAATGCATATAAGTTTGCAGGGAAATCCTATGGTACACACCCTATCACAACTTAGCATAAGTTTATCATAAAATTTTATAACACCAATCACAAAATGCATAATCTCGTCACACCATCGTAACCTAGCCACAAACTTTTGTTACATAAACCATAAAATTTTGTACATTTGTTACGCTAATTTGTGTTGAGATTATATATTTTGTGATTAATGTTATGAAATTTTGTTGTGAAGTTATATCATTTGGTGGTGTTTATTTTGAGAGATTGAGCCATGGGATTAGACGAATAGTCCATCCAGACTAATAGTCCGTTGTTTGGTTCAAAATTTTTGCTTCGAACTAACAGTCCTTCTAGACTATTAGTCCCAAATATGTTGGACTATTGTACCCTAGAGGGGATGGGACACAAATGGGGGGATAAGGGGGAATATGGGATTAGGTGGTGAAATGACCATTTTGACCCTCTACTATTTAATTATGTATTATATTTAGTAAAATTCAATAAAATTTAAATGTCTCAATTTAAAAATAAAATAATTTTATTTAACTTTTTATTGATGTTTTATTTATTTAATTTTTTTATTGATATTTTATTGATGTTTTATTTTAAAATGTTGTTTATATTTTATTTAATTATTATTATTTTTTAAAATAAATTTATTTAAAATTTTAATTATAAAACATATATTTTTATTGATATTTTATTTATTCAATTCATTTAATTTTCGAAAAATAAATTTATTTAATTGTGTAAAAAATAAAATAAAATATTAAAGATATGCTTAATATTGATATTATTTAGTATATAATTGAAAAGGGTAAAATAGTCATTTGAGCATTTATCATTCTCCATAATATCCCAAACAAACAAGGGATTCATATCTTATCCAACCAAATAGTCCTTTCCTAACATCTAATCCCATGACTAAACAAACATATAATACATATCCTATCTAACCACATAGTTCCAGCACTATGAATCCCAAGATTACAATCCGATGGATTCCAATCCGCCCTTATCCAGTCCGTCCAAATAAACACACCCTTTATGACTCTCATCGGTCTCTCCTGTATGTTGGGCCGAGGTGAGCAATGCACCTATGTTGGGTCCAGAATTAGTGTGTGAAACGACGGAGAAAGTTGCATTTATCCGTAGGAAGTTGGTCATGACTCAGAGTCGTCAAAAGACCTATGCCAACCATAGGAGGAAACCATTATCCTTTGAGGTAGGAGATCACGTCTACTTGAAGATATCACCTAGACAGGGTTTGATGAGGTTTGAGAAGAGCGGGAAGTTGTCTCCTAGGTTTATTGGGCCTTTTAAGATCCTAAAGCGAATTGGAGAGGTAGCTTATTGCTTAGACATGCCGCCACAACTTTCTAAGGTTCATGACGTGTTCCATATCTATATGCTTTAGAAGTATGAGTCGGATCGTTCACATGTGTTAGATTGGACTGAGTTAGAGATTGATGAGGATGCCTTGTATGAAGAAAGACCGGTGAGAGCCTTAGATACTCGAGACCAAGTCTTGCGAGGCAAGACAATTCCTTTGGTGAAAGGGTTATGGAAACATCACAGGGTTGAGGAAACAACTTGGAAACGTGAGTTGGAAGTCTGTGAGAAGCATCCGAACCTATTTATTGGTACTTGAGCATGTTTTGAGAGTTTTGTTGTGTTAATATAATGTAAACATTGTATATGTTTTGGAAATGTGAATTGTATATTCAATATTAAGAACTTATTTGTCATGTTGATATGAATGAATGATCGGTGGATGGGTCAAGGTAATGAGATTAGTTTATTATCATTGTTGTAATTGGTTTAAATTTGTTTTTAATTTTGGGGACGAAATACTGAAAGGGGAGAGATTATAGCGATTCTGGTTTAGACCCGACCCATTTATTACTTTTGAATCCAGGAAACCATATTCGTGATGGTCATTCCTTTCTTTTTATGTTTGGTTTTGGCTTCAGGGGTCGACACCATCCTTATTGGTGTGGGCACTGCCTTCTTTTCTTTGCGTTGTTCTGTTCCTAGGGTCGACACTAGCTTTGGAGGTGTCAACACCATCTTACTGCTATGTTCTTGGAATAGCTATTGAAATTTAGGTCGACACTAGCCTTGGTGGTGTCGACACTTGTCTTTTGTTGTTGGCCTCAATGGTCGACACCAGTCTGGGAAGGGTCGACCCTTGTCTACTGTAGAATGAGGTAGGGATTCTTCAAACTCTTGTATGAGTTTTACCTTAGTTATTTGTTTTTTCAAAAGACTATAGTGGTTTGAGGGGTTTTGGTAAAACCTAGGATTTGAACTTAAAAAGAAAAAGTGGGGTTTTCTAATGGTTTTTTAAGCTTGTGGGTATGAAATTGGAGTTGATATATATTGATATGAGATATTTCCTACATTGAAATTGATTTTTAAAGAGAATGGGGTTTTGCCATAAAATGTGAATGTTTGAGATTGCAAAGAGAAAATGGAATTGATGTTGAGAATTATGAAACTGAAGTAATGTTGATGATGATGGCGGAGTTGGATATGTATTATAACTCCCATCTTGAGATTTTGGAACAGTGTATCTTTAATGAAATTTATTGATCTATTTAGAAATATCTATTTTGGGCTATCGGTAAAGGATAGCTATGAGTGTTGTAAAAATTGCATTAGAATTATGTAAACTAAAACTAATTTCTCATCCATGTGCATTGAACATTGTTGCTTATTTAATATATTGAAAATGTATATGATTTTCAGAAAAATGCGGCGAACGTTGGAAAGAGGTGTGTGTCACCAAATTAAGTTGGCCTGTGTGTCCAGGGTGAAAGTCCCAAAAAACGCACGTATACATGGGTGATGGTTCCCGTGGACGAAATATCCGTAAAATGGCAATAGTAGCGCTTATATAGGCTACATTTACATGGGTTCCATTTGATGGTTTCCCGCGGATGAAATATCCGTAAAAGGTTGTACTAGTTTGAGATTTTCCCTTTTTTCTATTGTAAAAGGCATGGTTTTGAGAATTGTGATATAAACCTGGCAT